GTGTGTGTGTGTGTGTGTGTGTGTGTGTGTGTGTGTGTGTGTGTGTGTGTGTGTGTGTGTCCACAGACTTCAGCCCAACAAGCCCTGACTGGAACCATTAACTCCAGTATGCAGGCTGTCCAGGCAGCCCAGGCCTCTCTGGATGACTTTGATACTCTGCCTCCACTTGGAACTGACGCTGTAAGATTAGATTTGAAAAATGAATTCAATGCTGATTTGAGATTAACCTGTTTAAGAGAACTAAATTAAACACAAGTTGCCATTTTTTCTGACATTAATTGTTGCAACTTTAGGGTTATACATTCCTTTAAAGTGCCTGTAGTGTAATTTTTTTATTTTGGACAGATATTTTTAGTGTTTTGCAAAAAAAAAAAGATAATGCAGCTGAAATGAACAGCTGTCAAAATATTTGCTTGTGCAGTTACAGGAAGTGATGTTAAAGAGGAAAACCTGCTTGTTAGCAGAGCGTTGCTTAAAATGGCTAACGACACAGATAGTAGAGAGCAGTGGTGGGCAGCGCCAATCGAAAAATTAGCTCCGCAATTTCTAAAGAGCTTATGCCATAGATAAACTAGCAGAAGCTAATTTTAAAGCACAAGTTCAATTTAACACTTACTTGCTGGCAGTGTTGTGCATGTACAATATATGCACAACACTGCCAATTAGTGGTGAATGAACCCTTTTACAGCTTAACCCTAAACAGTCGATTGCTGGGGATGTGATTTCATTAAACAGACATTTAGCTCCAGGTGTAAAAATTAAAAGGTTGTTGAGGATTGCTAGTTCGGCTGATTCTTTGTCTTTTTCTTTTGTTTGATGTAGATTTTTCATTAAAGAAGCATCGATAAAGTAATTTTAAAACTGTTTATTGGAAAACTGAAGTGATGCATTCTGGGTACATGACGGATTTGATTTGTGACCGGAAACGAAATCACGGAGTACAGGAAACTATCTTCACTTATAAGAGCTTGGATTTTAAAGTTTTCCATGTAGTTGCTCCAATTGATCACTAGATGTCAGTCTTCATCAGCATAACATCTTTAAATCATTTCTGCGTTTCTTACCCCGTTGGCCGATTGCTTCGACCAATTACGTCAAGTATTGAGCTCCAGCATTTAAACTTTATTTTTTTAAAACAAGGAGCTCCGATTGTAAAGTAAAATAAACCAATACTTACAAAATTTTAGTATGGCTTACAAACATTAACTGTTTTGCTGGGACAGGGAGTTCTAAACATTGCCTTCCTGCTACATAAACAGACACAAAGCATTGTGGGAAATGAGAACCGTGACCGAAAGCAACAGTCAGCAAGGATGTATACCTTCTCAATAAGTGTGTTTATCTGGGAGGGGTGTTGTTGGATAGATCACCTGTGTTGTGATTCATTGACAGTCATACCTTCCACTGTTCAAGATAATGATGACTGGTAGATAATTAGTTATTAGCAGTACTGCATCTTAATTTTAGAAAGCGCAAATCTGCTTATGAATTATAAAAATTTGTAAGACCGCTAAAGCGCAAACAAAATATTTAGGTCCACAATTAGTGGATTTGCACTTTAGTGTGCTGGTGCCCACTGCTGGTAGAGAGGAATCAAAGGCTTTTTTAGATTATTCACAGAGTCTCTGTCAGAGAGACTAAGTGGAGTCCAAATTCAAACAAAATTGTCTCAATAAACAAACACATTAGTTCCCCTTTGAATTCTGCCCTAAGTTCAACAAAATAGTGATAAAATGGGTAAAATCATGTGTAATACGCCAAATTTCCAAAATATTCAGTTGTTTTCTTCTACTTTCTGTATTTGTATAAAATGCACGTCACAGGCTCTGTAAGACTTGGGGATTTTTTTGTTTTTCTGTTGAAGGCATCTCAAGCTTGGCGCAAAAACAAGATGGATGAGTCCAAGCATGAGATTCATTCCCAGGTGGATGCCATCACAGCAGGCACAGCCTCCATGGTCAATCTGACAGCAGGTAGAAACAGTGAAACTTGTTTTGAGAATCTTGTTTTAATATTTGTTGAATCTTTTTGTAAGGTAAAGCACAACTAGAAGGTGATTATCTGCCTCGATATGCTGGAGATTGAGAGGATAGAAAAAGGATATAAACACAGAAGCACATGCCAGGTGTGCTTTATTTTGGAAAAAAAACGGAACACAATGTTAGGAGTAAGAATTGTACATGCATACACAGAAACGAAACAAAGTGAAGACAGCAGAGTGAGAAAACATGAATAGTTTGTCCTCCTGGTGATTGGCTTGTATTATTTAGTTTCTCTCTGATCTATGAGCACAACTTAACGCAGCGAAGCCGTTTGGTGAAAAGGGTTTTTATTCACGTTTCTTTAAGAAATGAAAGCAGTTTTCTGTTGCTGTCCTAAGGTGATCCAGCTGAGACGGACTACACAGCAGTGGGCTGTGCGGTCACCACCATCTCCTCCAACCTGACAGAGATGTCTAAAGGTGTCAAACTACTCGCTGCACTCATGGAGGACGAAGGAGGAAACGGACAGCAGCTGCTGAGCGCTGCCAAGAACCTGGCCTGCGCCGTCTCTGACATGCTGAAGACGGCTCAGCCTGCAAACACAGAGGTTTACAGCCGGACCAACACATGCAGGCACATTATCGTCCGTCTCTCTTTGACCTTTAGGTTTACCTGCACATATTTTATCCTTGCAGCCTCGACAGAACTTGCTGCAGGCTGCAGGAAACGTGGGTCAGGCAAGTGGTGAGCTGCTGTCCCACATTGGAGAGACGGACACCGACCCACAGTTCCAGGTTTGCCGTTTTTTTAAATAAATGCAACTGTTTTGTTGATTGTTTTCACTTTTACTTTTACTATACTGACTTCAAAATCTTGGTTTATATGTCAGAAACATCAGGATGTTAGGTAGTTTGGTGTTTCATTTTTAGCTACAGTTGGGTTTCTTTTTTTAATCACTTCAGTAGATAAAAGAACTTAATATTAGTTTCTTAATTTCTTCATCATCAGTGATTTTTTAAGTAAAGAGAAAATAGAAAAAGAGGGAAAAACAAAGCGAAAATGTAATAAGAAAGATTGAAATAGAGATTAGAAATATATTAAATATACACCAAGAAAACACAAGGCCACACACCCAACATCTGTCCGCTCACGTAAATAAATGGATAAATAAATGGATGGCATGCATACATATATACACATACCCATACATACAGTATATAGATATACATACATACATGCATACATTCATGCATACTGTAGATATATACACACTCAGTGACCAGTCAGAACTTGGGCATCTTTAAGAGAGCCAGAGTTGTTTATAAATTATTTTGAATTTGTATTTTATTCAATTATATAAAGAATCAATTTATCCCAAGCATATAAATAAAATATTACACCCATTCATTTTGAATAGGTTCCATGTTTTCTTATAAACTACAGAATAATTACAACACTATTGATGTTTAAAAAAGCAGTAAACTAAGTGAAGTGAGTATTTTATGACCGTATAAAACTCTGTCCTGTCTTCCCTCTGTTTGATGTATATATTTGACAGCTTCGAGGTAAAGGATCTTTCAGGCGGAGAACCCCCTCCTATGTTCAAATGATGGTAACTAATGTGTCTGCAAGACAAAGCTTGGCTGGAATAAATATGAAGCCAATCAATAAATCAGTGTTTTAGAAAATCTGTTGATTTCTTTGTAAATCTGTGAGGTGAATCGGTGAACAGGACAAAGTAATTCATTCAAATTTGCCTCTGCTCATTCTGAAGAGAATATTTTGGGTAGATCTGCAGGAAGGACACAATATTTGTTTGTATTATAGATATCTTTAAAATAAATATCACCCGACAGTTGTTTATTTTTAATTTTTTTAGTTGAATGTGCATGTTTCTCTTTAATAAGACGATTCACTACATATTGAGGTACATGGGGTGTGTCCAGTTAGTCACAAGAGACATTTTCAAATATAAAGGTTTTATTTCATGTAGTCTGATTACTTGTATACATTTGTTGTTGAAATCTAATCTAGTTTTTTTACTGGAGCTTTAATATGTGTACCAAACAAAGCCTCACTTTTGACCACACTTTTAGATTTGGGAAATCTTTTGAACTAACCTGACTGAAAGGTGCTTTCATCACCTCTGATCTTACAGAGTTGCAGCTAAAAAACATTTTCTGATAATTTAGGTTGAATTCACACCAGCCCTGTTTAATCCGCTTTACTCGAACTCTAGTTTGCTTGCCTAGAAAGTCCGGTTTGTTTGGGGAGGTGTTAATTCGTAATCAAACTCTGATGCAGACCTGATCCACCTACAAACCTAGGTCTTGGCTGGGTTGAAGGGAACTCTGATGGAGTTCAAATGTAGACGCCAAGCGGACCAGAGACCACTCCAGAAGCAGGAAGTGGACTTTAACGCAGGACATTCTGAGGATTAATAATAAAGTTACTCAAATACCTTGCTCAGTGTTTGTATAAGTTGGACATCACTGCTGTGAAGTTGGATGTGCTCTTACTCAGTGCGCACTGCCTCATATGGAGCCGTCATGCTGACTCCATTGTTGAAGTGTGCTTGTTTTGCTCATTTGCCAAAAACAAAAGAGAAATCCTACAACTGCTAAAATCTGACGTCACTCCATGTTTGTTTACATTTTCGCTATCTCAATTCATGGGCTGCATCCTCATCAGTGCGCATTTGTCGGTCGCATACGTCACTGCCCCCGCGCCGAGTGCTGTCCCAATTCAAAGGCTCCTTATCATGCAGCCGAGGAACGCGACCCACAAAATCTTGAAAATCAAGGATTCATCCGAGTGTCCTCACCGGCCGAGGCTATCCCAGGATTCAATGTGCAGGCAGCAAAATAAACAGAGAAATGAAGACGGTGGAGTTTTTTTTTTTACCAAGTTGGTGTACCAAATTCATCACGGACCAAAGAATTTGTTTTAATTGTAAGTTTAGCAACGTAGCTGATGAAATTCATGCCGCAATAAGATTTTAAATAAAATGCAACTACAAGTGCTGATGCTGGGGCTAAACTCAAATTATTAACGTTTTATTTTTTTTATTGTAACATTTTAATCGTGAAGTTATTCTTCAAGTGAAAAGATGTGTGAATTCATATCTCAACACATTTTAAGTCTGATATGAAACCAATCACTGTTGTAATGGGTTTAGTGCGTGGTCACGCAAACATACAGTACTTCAAGAGAAGACTAGACCGTCTCATTTCACAGCAGTTTCATGCAGCCTACCTGGACTGGGAAGGATGTGGCCCAGCTGGGCTACGTACTCATGAGGATGCAGCCCGTAAACTGAGACACAGCCTTTGTGGAGAAGGAAGTTGCACTCAATGGCTGTGTCCAAAACGGTGGGCCGGGTCCTCCGAAGGACCCAGCCTACCTGTTCGAGGTGGGCTGGGTCCTTGGTAGACTGAGAAGACCGGAAAAAGTGTCTGTGAATTTGTACGGTCTAGCCTCCCATCCTTATCCCGGCATATGTCATGTCGCCTAGCAATGGTGACAACGCTAAACAGAAACAAACTTAGATCAAAATTAGAAAAATATCAATATATTAGTGTTGTTAATATCACAAAACAATGAAATTAACTTAAAGGTAATATTTTAAGAACTAATGGACCCGCCATAGGTGCATGTTTATTTCACATTTTTTTCTGACAAAAATAATATTTAAAAACACGTTTTTAAAAATTATAAAAGTATTAAAATTACAACCGCTAGAAAAATTTAAATTTTTATATCGCCATATTTTTTATTTAAAACGTATTTTCTCTGGCTTCGTCCGCCATTACTAGCATAAAAACGTTGGTTACGTATTGTAACCCCAGATTCTATGAGTGTAAGCGCAGCCCTCTAAGGCTATCGCAGATGGGTACCCCCGTGCGCGTACGCGCATTCTGAAGTATCAATAGTCTACGCCCACGTG